TATATATATATATATATATATATATATATATATATATATATATATATATAACATCATCTGATCGTCGCGCCTGCGCACTACGGTCAAAATACACTCCTCGAACATCGTCTGTCTTTCCATTATGGGACAAGCTCCTCTAGGCTATGTTCAGAAATCCGAGTGAGTCCCAAATGCGCACATTGACAAACAGACACATCCAATCATATGTCGTTGTTTATAGAGTCTTTAGAATATCTCTAATCACACGGTGTTGTGGTTGGCTGTGTCCGTTTGTCAATGTGCGCATCTGGGACGCTCCCAGAAATCCTACTCGATGAGTAAAGTTACTTTAATAAACCAATCATAATAAATAAATCTTAGTTTCTTTTACTCTGATTGCCTAATTAAATGTTACTCTACTCACCGAGTAGGGTTTCTGAACGCAGCGCTTATAGGCAGCATAGGGCAATTAACAATATAGTAGTATTACATATATGCTTTTACCTCTTGGATTTCAGGCTGAGTTTCCACTTAGCTCGTCACGCGTCGCGTCGTCCAAGTTAAGCTAATCAAATCGTCCCATTTTATTCGGTGTAAAGTTACGCAATAAAATAGGACGATTTGATTGGCTTAACTCGGACGACGCGACGAGTGACGCGCTAAGTGAAAACGCACCCTTACGGTCCAAGAGTCAGCGACTGTGATTGGCCAATTTGCTTATTGTTTATCTTTTACTGTTTAAGTTTTTCTATGTTCCATGGACTTAATATCTCAACCTAGACTCAATAAATTATTTAATACTTTGCTTATTTAACGGTTTTGGTAACCTCGTTGAACGTAATGTCCTGGTTTACATCGTGCACTTGATACGCGTACTAAATAATAACTTTCTATTAAATAATCTTAATATTGACAATGCATATTAACGACGCATTCAATCGATACAATAATGGTTCCTGCACACAGAACGCAGTAATGCTTGCCGCGCGGCGGAAGTCCACGCGACAGCCAATCAATATGTTGTTTTTCCGTAAGAGCTAGAAGGTTATTACGGAAAGCAGCATATTGATTGGCTGTCGCGCGAACTTCTGCCGCACGGAAAGCATTACCGCGTTCTGTGTGCAGGAGCCATTAATCGATTCGATTCTTTTCCTAACAAATTTAAGGAAAAAGGATTGTTCGTGCTGCTTGCATGTTTCATACTTTTCGCTTTTAAAAAAAGATGGACGCCTAATTAGACGGTTGGAAGAAACAATCGAGTTGTCTCGTTTTTGCTTTTTCGAAACATTTCAATATACTTCTGTCTAGTTTTAAATACAAAAAGTGCGAAGAGTGCAAACAACACAAATAAGCCTATTTTTGGGGAAAGAATCGAATCGATTCAGGATCGGGCATCTCTAATATGAACCAAGTCAGTGGCTTTTGTACACAAGACGCGGAAATACTTGTCGTGCGGCAAGAAGCGACGCGGTAGCCAATCAATGTGCCGTTTTTCCATGGTTGCGTTCAGATTCCTCATCCAGGTGCATTCTATTACTAGAAACACTATAGAATATGTCACATATACTATAGCACTTCTAGTATTAGAGTGCACTCAGGTAGGGAATCTGAACGCATCCCATAAGAGCTGAAAGTTTATTGGCTACGTGTCACTTCTTGCCGTATGGCAGGCATTTCTGCGTCTTGTGTGCAGGAGCTATATAAGGGCCTATCCCATTATACCATTATAAGTTGGCCATTGTACCTGTTCCGTAAGTTGGTCGAATTGAGGAGGGATATTGGTCGAGTATACGCAAAAACAAAGCGGAGAAAGGTTATAAGGGAGCGGGAAGAATTTTTGATAAGAAATATATCGAATATAATGGAAAATAGTGAAAGTGGAGACGATGGTGGTCCTTTAGGGACAACGACGTTTCTGGGAGGAAACAATGTTTCTGCGTCTTACATCGGTGTTCAATCAGACGATATGGAAGGTAGGTTAGCGTTCTGACCATAGCAAAATTGTTTTATACAGACTTTGTTATGTGTGGATCAAAATGTATTAATTGAACCTTTAATTTATCATACCTTTAACGTATAAATTACATACTTCATTAATTGGATAATTAAAATAATAGAAACTCCATAATAAGATATGAATAAAAAATCGATATAAAATAATGAATGTAATAAATAATAAATTACTTGTAGTAGAGAAAGTGAGAAAAAATTCTGAGATATTGCTGATTTCAGTTAAATGCAATTTGTAATATTATTGTGATGGGAAATGTCTAGGCTGCATAAAATGCGCTGAGACCATTCTGAATATGTCCAGAATATTTTGAAATATTTTGTTTGAACATCTTGGATGCATTTAGACGCGTTTTTGGAATATTCCATTGTTTGGGAAATTACATTTTGTATTGTTTATATTAAGTAAAAATATATTTCAAAACCAATATAAATAAAATAAATAGGCAAATGATACATAATGAGAACAGTAATAATATTCTATTATTCTTTATATAATATTAATATATTATAGAGATAAATAATAAATTATATTCTTTCTCTGTCGCTTACTTTAAAAGTATAAATAATAGTTTTATCTAAATTCTAATAGTTATATATTATTATAGTTATAGTATATAGTTATAGTCTTATCTAATAGTTTTATCTGTTATTGATTCAGTTGTTTGTTTACTACAGATTAATGTTCTATGAGATAGTAACACTTAAGTCCTTAATTTACTCTATGTTTGTTTATATATCTTGTTAACTCTAATTGGAGAATATGTGAAAGTAAAAAGAAACATTAGATATATTGATCGCATATATTTATTAAAAGATTGATGTTTATATTTAAGTAGCATATATTTACATCGTCAATCCTCTGTAAATCACCTCGAATCGCAAAAGAAATTGGTATATATCCTTGGGATCATAATAATATACATAAATCTTAATAAATGCTTCTTTCTTGTTTCTTTTTTTTTTCTTTAACAGATGACCCTGAGAATACAGATGACTCCAATCATGGTACCGGGGATCCTTTGCAGGGTACAGCTGGTACCGGTAGCAGTGTGCCTCTTCGAGAGCAGGATCGTTTCTTGCCGATCGCGAACGTCGCAAAAATCATGAAACGAGCCATTCCAGAAGCCGGCAAAATAGCTAAGGATGCACGAGAATGCGTGCAGGAGTGTGTGTCCGAGTTCATATCGTTTATCACCTCGGAGGCGAGTGACCGGTGTCACATGGAGAAGCGCAAAACTATTAACGGTGAGGACATTCTGTTCGCTATGACTACGCTCGGCTTCGACAATTACGTCGAGCCGCTGAAGATGTATCTGCAAAAGTACCGCGAGGCAACGAAAGGTGACAACCCGCCCAACGCTGGCAACGGCAAAACGGAATCGCAGACCACCATATACGACGACTCCTCGCTATTCGCCATCGCGCCGGCCCCAGGTCCCACCACGGCTGACGCTACTCCCGTCATCTATAGTTACTCCACCAACGAACAAATGCAGTTCCAGCTTTCCTGATTACTGCGAATTAAAGTGATGCCGTTATACATCTGTTCTAAGACACACTGTGTGACGTGTGGGAGTATGGACGCGAAAGTAACTTCGTATCGTTGCCGTATAAAACTGATCTTGCGAAAAAGAGAAACTGCTAGAGAGACGGCTGTGATGGCGAAGTACTTTACATTTTAACTTCCGAATATGATAAGACAGTTGCAAGAGAGAGAGAGAGAGAGAGAGAGAGAGAGAGAAAGAGAGAGAGAGAGAGAAATAGAGAGAGAGGGGGGGGAGGAGAGATAGAAACGGAACAAACAAGTGTCGCGCTGAAGTAATCTTGTAAACAAGCTGAAGTAAGCAAGTAAACCTTGAAAAAAGCAAAACTTGTAAGCATGGACGTAAATAAATCGAGAGACCTTTCGTGAGAGACCCGTCGACGACGGCGATGGTTCCTTTACTTCTTCGTACACGACAAAAGGGTAGAAAAACATGGCCGATTCTTTTCTTTCTCTATTGTTAAGCACTAGAGAAACGCATTAGAGGCTACTCTTGTTTAGGATGCGGTGAGTCTGCGACAGAGAAAAAAACGGTTCAGGCCGCGACTAAGTAGGCTAGATCGAGCGTCGCATGCGAGAACCGGCAGTAGATCGGCGTTTATAGAATTCATTTCGTAAAAAACGTTCGTTCGGATCGCGACGCGCGCGCGCGGTCGCTTCTTCATTCCGGCAATTGGGCAGGCGAGAGCAGGAGCTCGTGTCCCTTCGTCGCCGGTGACACGGAGCGGCTCTTAGGCGCGGCCGATTGCCGATCCTGTTGATGATGCCGCTGTTGTTGCTGCTGCGACTGCTGACGCTGCTGTTGCGCCGGCGGCAACAACGAAGCGGTCGACAACGTCCCTGTTGGTCGTGCCTCGGCCTTCCTCGCCTTCTCTTTTTTGTGCGAGGCGACATGACAGAATCGCCAGCGGCAGGGGCCGCAACGGCACAGACAGAGGCACAGTAGTACGCGAAACAGACAGCACAGCAGCCCGGCGCAGAGCAACGACGGGCCGACCAGCCTCAGCTCCGGGCTGAGGAAGCCCTTCTCGCCGGTGCCGACGAACGAGATAATTAAACCGAGCGCTGTGGTCCCTAAGCCCGCATAGAGCACGGTATTGACCGCCGCGCTGACCTCTCCTCTCTGGCGAACGGCGTTACTGCTGTCATCTTCCTCGTCGTCCTCGCCGCTGCTGCCGTAGCAGTAACTGGCGTCCCGTATCTGCAACAGAATTTCCCACGGTGTTGGTCTCTCGTAGGATCCTCGCCGGATTTATCGTCTCTCGCGCTTAACGGATTGGAAATGTAATTAGGTTTGGAAATGTTTGTACATCTTGAGAAAATATCAGCGGAATAGCTCGAATTTGTAATGCGCAATGCGATGAAAATAATCTTGTTTAAGGGGCAACATCACGCTAGAAATCTTCACAAACTAATTCTCATCGCGTTATCCGAAAGGTCATACGGTTTTGGACAATTTGTTTAAAGATTTTTTGGAAATTTATGAAGTTGTAGGAGAATTTATGAAACCCTGTCGAAACATGTAGGGCGCTGGGGGTTTTTAAACACATCTTTCGAGACTATTTTTTGAAGAATTGGTCTGGAAGATATTTGGAAAGCTATTGATTCGACTTTTTCTTTACGACAAATTTTTTGTCTGTTTTTTTCTGTTTTCTTTTTTTTTTTAACTCTGAGACAGATACAAAAAACTATTTTTGTTGAAAATTCGTAATTTTTTTTATGAAACCTGTTATTTTGTGAAAACGAAACTTTTCTTCTAGCTCGTTATAAAACATGTTTTAAATAAACATATAAATTTTTCAAAACATGCATTCATTGTAAAATTACCTTTAAAAACAAAGTTTGTTACTTAAAAAAGTATTCCTAAAGATTCTCTCCTTTTTTGCTCGCCATGGTGTTCTCCCTTAAAGAAACGTGCAAGATGAAAGAAATGGAAATTTCAGATTATTCCGCGGTTATTCCGCGTTAATTTTTTACTTATTCATCTTAGACGTTTCGCAGATATAGGAATTATTATGTAGAAATATGTGGGAATTGTCGCTCTGATGCATCTGACCCGCATTCTACAAAGCACGAATGACAGTTTCCATTATTTATGGTCCCATATGAATTGTCGACAAATTTACCCTGTTCCTCTTCATCCATCGTCGATGCGCTTCGCATTGCTTCGTTTTGTAACCATCTCCGCGACATCCTGGTGATGTGGGGGATAGAGGAAGTGAAGGTCTGTTGCACCCTTGCCAGGCTGCCTTACCGGGTCCCTGACCGCCACACTGAAATATGTGACTCTCAGACATATCATTAAGAGTAATTTCGACGGCGATTTCAATATAAACTGGTCTTTACACCGGTCCCCTAACTGTGGTCCTCTAACAATGTGATTACTCGACATTCCGAGTGGTTTTATCCCTTAGAAAAGGAAAGAGAATAAAAACAAGTAGGGAACCGTGACAAATCGCCGCAAGACCAGCGCTGTGATTTTACGTGTCTTTATTCTCTTTCCCTTTCTAAGTTGATTGCACCTCTTAGGAACTTCTTCCCAAACTTATTCTCTTTTCTTTCTTTCAGTGGGTTTCGTGGGTTTTTCTAACACATTATAACATATGTATGTATTTTAATTATACACTGACTCTAAATTATTTATGTAAAGTTAGCGCTAACTTTCCGTGTGAGAAAATATATGTGTGAGAAATATATATATGTATCTAAGATATATAATATTGTAATCCCAACGTAGTCGCGTGAAATCCTGCATTTTCTACAGCCCCTACGAGAGCGCCTTCGGTGTCCACCCTTGTATTACATGAATGAACGAGATGTTAAGTCGTATTTCGAGTAGAAATGACAAGCGGAGGAACCTGGTCTGCCTAAGGAACGATTGTTCTCACTCGAGGAGCGACATTGGCCTGGAGATCGTGAATACAACCGATTCCCTCCGTGATCGAAACACAAAGAAATATCGAATGGTGAGGATTATATGCGTATGTACGTGTGATCGATATCCGCAAGAGCCTCGCAACGAGCCAATCCACACACACACACATATATACACGCACGCACGCACACACGGGATCAAGTGGTATTGGTTGGACGTTCTGGTTCTTGGAAGAAGTCCGTATAACACGGCGCGACGCTAATCTATAGTATTCACGCTAAAGGATCGAGATCATGCCCTTTGACGGCCGACGAGTTTTACGTCATGACTTGATACTTACCCCGTACACGTAAGATCGTGGGGGATACCGTGGAAGCGGCGGAATAAGTCTGGTGGCGAAGTTGGAAGGTAATTCTCTAAAATTCACCACCTTACCCCCCCGTAATCGCTGTTTTTCACGTCTAATCAATAGAGCGGCCTGCATTCCGCTCATTCATTTGCATAAATTATCGATTGTCGAAACCTTCCGTTTAGCCTCTCTACTGATCGTTGGTGCGTTTTTTTTTCCTTTCACTCTTTTCTTTTCTCTATCCCCTGGTAAGAGACCGCTCTCTTGAGTTCACCTCATAGATCCACCATCGATCCCGATCGATACCGTGTGTAACGATCTACACCTAACATCGCGCTACCTGCCATTATTGGCATCGATCGCTGCTCGTCGGGTTTCGTGGGAGGCATGTTTCACGCTGAAATTACATTGCGAACCTTTAGCCGACCTGGGGCCGGGAAATATTCGGGCGTAGAGAATCCGGCGCCTCTCTCTCTCTCTTATTCAGCTCGATAGGTTTATCGCGTGTTGTACGCCACCAGACAGCCGATCGATGCTATTTGCTATATGTTGCACGAGGTGCCGGCAAAAGAGATGTGGTGCAACCAGAGGGAGCATATACGCCTGAGTGAAGGTGAGTCGCACTAAAGCGATAGAGTGAGCTCGCAATCTTTGTCAATCTAATTCGTTTGGTGCTCGCATTCGGCAGAGATAACGATCGCCCGAAGATACAGATGCGTACGCAAAAGCCGAAGTGGAAGAGTCGGGTCTCGGAAATTTTTACGGTGCGAATCAGTAATTTAAAGGTAAAGAGAACTGTTTTTTCTTTTCTTCTCTCTCTTTCTACGATACTGATAAATTTTTGACCTTTCATATAACGAACTTTGAGAAAAAGATCGGTAGCTCGAGAGAATGATAAAAAAGTTTAAGAAAACGAAATTCAGAGATACAAACATCCAACAACGAAACTACAATATTGCTTGTAAGATATAGGGCGTCCCGCTGGACGTTGCATCATCGGGTGGGAGAGAATTTCTATGCGAAACGACGATTCTCACGCGAACGCAGAGTAAAACCTCCTCGCACACCGGGGTTCGATTTTTTCCACTCGGTAGCGCTACGTCGCGCGGGTCAGCCCGTATATTTGAAACTTTCCCGACTCGCACCTTGCCCGACAACAGCTCAGAGTGTCTCGATTCGACATCTCAGCAGTTCTCCCTGCCTAATGCGCGCATTGCGTGACGCATTTCTCGCTCTGCGTGATTCCTGGACGTATATAGTACGTATGTGTCGTGTGTGAGACTGTGTGGGTACACACGTGGACTATATAAGAAATAGGTGAGTTAATGTATGTGATACTTGGGGCGAGAGAGCGACTAAAGAAACAGTGTGAACCCGGTGAGGCCCGGTCACGAGGAGAGAGAGAGTTCTCGACGATGCTACCCACCTGTGGCTCCGAAGTAGGAGGCGAGACTCGGAGATCAAGGATCGAGGGTGGCGGGAAAGGGAAGTTGCTGGCTTTGTTGTTGGGGCAGGTAGTGGCGGACACCGAGGACTCGAGGGAGAGCGGGGGCGGCGAGATCGGGAACTGGATCGGCGAGAGCGGCGCGACTTGCTGCTGGGACGATTTGTGATGGTCGGCGTGCTGACGGCGTCGATCGTCGATGCCCGGGTGGAATGCGGCGGACGACGACGACGTCGACGTCGGCGCCTGTTGCTGCTGTTGCGCTCGCGACGCGGACAACGGCGGCGGCGGTACGGCCTGATGTTGCCGGGCAAGCTTGGTCAGATGTTGGTGGTGATGATGATGGTGGTGGTACTGGTGCTGGTGTTGGTGTTGGTGCTGGTGGTGCTGGTGCTGATGCTGGTGATGGTGGTGCTGTTGCTGCTGCTGCTGATAACGCGAGCCGGGGGCACCTTTCAGTCTTGGCGGGACGACGTTGATCGCGGGTGTCGCGGCGCCGCCCTGCTTGTTCAGCTGCAGCCGCTTCTGCTTCCTCCGATTGGCGATGCTAGCACCACCCGCCGCGGCGTACATCGCTCCGCGGTCAGCTGTCCAGCTTTTCCTCTGGCCGTATCAAAACAGCTCCGAGGCCGACGCCCCCCCGTTTTCCGTTACGAGTTTCTATGGTCGCGTAGCATGCTGCCGACGATCGGTCCGTGTCATGTCGCGGGTCCCTCGCCTCCTGGTTCTATCCCGGGAAAATGCTTTTTTTCTTCTCCTGCCCGTTTTTATCCTCTCTCCCTCTCTCTCTCTCTCTCTCTCTCCCCCTCCTTCCCTTTCTCGCTCGCTCTCTCTCTCACTCTCTATCTATCTATCTTTTCTTCCCCCTTTTCTTTCTCTTGCCACTCTCTGGAAAGGCAAGAAAAGTGACGGTGCTCCGGTCGCTGTGGCGCCCGTCGTTACACTCTACGTTTCTAAATCGCTACGCGGCAAGCACGTTGAAAGCGGTTTATTTTACGTCGGATCGAATTACCGCTGATCAGCGAACGCGTAACGCATTATTTACCGGACGATCCGCGCATGCCGCGAACGTGACGTGTCTTCGACAACGTGCCTCAGCTGACTGTAAGACGCGGGGCTTTTCACCCCTCGGATTTACGGTTTTTTAACGTTTGAGTCAGACACTTACACGTATAATGCATCGTCGTCCGTGACGCGTGTTGCGAGTTTACTTATTACTTCACTAAGTCGCTACTTCTTCGGTTATGCGTTCGCTGGATGTTCCAAAAGCAAGGATACTATATCATACGCAGCGGGCAATTCATCCTTGTTGTATATCCGTAACAAGAATATGTTTCACAATGGAGAATCTAATAATCCCAGGTAGCACAAAATATTTTTAAATCATCTTGGATGTGCTCAAAATATTTCAACACATTCGGGATAATGTTCGGACGTCTTGTCCTATCTGGGATGTGACAGGCATCACCAAAATATATATTTTAAAAACGTATTAAAAGATATTGTCCGATTTGAAAGATTATTTCGATAATTGTTTCTTTTGTATGTAAGCCAGAATGTCTTGCTCCGCTCTTATTCTCTCTTCTAAACTCTAGAAGCAATGCAGGGGAAATTACGGATTTACTAATTGCTACATCTATGGTTCTAACAGGACAACAAGAAAGCTCTGTATATACGTGATCACGTATATATGTATCTTTAATTCCGTCCTTATACAATAATATTCTCTCCAAATACTTTCTCATTTTAATTTAATTTCAAGTACTTTAAAACTAGATTTACAAATACGCACACAGTAACGCGATAGACTGTAATATAACATTATCGTTATCATGCAAATAAATCCAGAATTATGTCGGCGATATTACACATAAGAATGAATAAAAAATATCGATCCCGCCACGATCCGAAACAAGTCCGCGTTTTGACCTTATGTGATTTGGCAGTCTGTCACACCATTGATGAAGTTTCAAACACAAATGTTTAGATAACGTTCATGATATTAACAGCACAATTGACAGAAATCTTCTTTGTTCACGCATAAAGATAGCGTTCAGGCTCGATTCGGCCCATTCTTGTGCACATTGTGATAAGACAATTTTACTTTTTATATTACTACGTTGCAGCTAAATCAATTTCACGGGTCCAACTCTTCGATGAAATACGCGTCGACAATTTATCTGTAAAGCCAGAGTTTGTGCACAATCGAATCGTACAATTAAATACATTATTATACAATTAATTAATTTCAATTGCATTTATCGGAATCATGCTTACAGATTGCATCTTTCTTCGCCCGATAGGCCATGATCAGTATTAAAGATAATTAAAGAAAGAGTCAAAAGGGAGTTTCTATATGTATAGATATTAAATATATACAGTAAAGTGCTCGGCTACACACAGCCAAATGCGCCAAACGCGAAGAAAAATCAACGAGAGAAGTGAAATAAACAGCAAGCCGAGAATGCAAAGCTGGCGTGCACTTCTCCCCGCGATTACTTCGATCGCTCACAGCTGATTTCAATAACGCTTATTCACATAAATGGCTATTCACTTGACTTTTCTTTTAAGAAAAATAAGACTTTCTTTTAAGAAAGATAAGTTTTAAAAAATAAGATTACTTTTCAAAATGAGGAAAGAAGTTTTTCATTTTGAAAAAAAAGTCAAATCAACATCAATCATCTTGAAAATCCGTTATAAAGAAAATTCAGTCGCTACGTCATATCTAATGTCAATGCAACGAACCTGTCCCTTGATTAATTAATTGCAGCACATGTAAAGTTGACTGACGTTAGTATGAAATCGGCGCGCGGGCTGAATTATTCACGCAAGAAATCAGCTGCTGGGAGAGCTAGAAAAAGAACTCTTGCACGATGCGGCACTTAAAAATGTATGACGAACGAGTTGGATGATAACCATAGTTGTTATAGCGAGCTTAGCGGGCAGGTAACATGCATGCGACGATGCGTGCGTACACGAAGAGATATATAGAGACAGGAGTGTATATATATACGTATATATATATTCAGCACACACACACGAAAGAAAGTTCGTGGATATACTCGCGAGACCAAGAGAGTCCGCGATGAACACGATTCGCAAGAGATATCAAAAGGAAGAACGACCTACAGATACGTCATCTACTCGTGATAAAAGAAAAGGCTGGCTGGTGGCCCCCGGACAAATCATGTAATTTTCTTTTCACATCGTTCTCGCGCGAAGGAGAAACATCGGAGGTAGGGGGGAAGGGGGCAAAGGTGTAACGGAGGAATCTAGGTAGAACGAAACGACGACAACGACGAGACAATGAAAGGGTCACACGCTCGAGTATATATATATATATCATTAATTTTTTTTTTTGGTTCAATTCGGTCGCTAACGACCGCTGCAGCAGCGTACGGCGGCTTCAACGGCGGCAGCAACAGCAATACAGCAAAAGGAAACAAAATAAAAGAAAAAAAAAAAACAAGAAACAGGCATCAAGCCAGCCAACAACACCAAAAACGACTGCGCGTACCAACAACTCGAGAGAGATATCGCCACTGTGTCAACCCTCTTTTCTCTCTCTTCTCTCTATCTCTCTTTTCACTCTCTTTTCTCTCTCTCTCTCTCTCTCTTCCTATCTCTCTCTCTTTCTATGCCACTTGCTCTCTCCCTTGTTCCCTTGATTCCTTCACGATAAATAATAGTACGTCGACATTTTGTCGCTCCGCGCGTAGGACTTCCTTCTTTTTTTTCGCGTTGCCTCTCGCCTGTCCGTAACACTCGCGGCCACGGAGGACGATACTTGGTGCACTAACGGCGACGGTGACGGCGACGGAGACGGCGACGAGGACGCGATTCGACGACGGCGCGTCTCACTCGATCGTCAACGGGACGCACGAAGCCTCCATCGCCCTCCTCGCGAATGTAGACGCGCCCGTCACCCCGGAGCGTGCGTGCGATCATCCACGATCACCGACTGACGACCGAGCAGCCGCAGACAGCCGCACCGTACGCGCTATCGCGCTTCCACTCTTTCCTTCTCTTTTCCACCCTCTTCCTTTCTCCTTCTTTTCACCCCTCACCAGCCTCTAACCACCCTCACTGCCGTCGGCATCCGCGCAGTAGCACCTCTCACTCGGCAGGGCCGAATCTAGACGGGGGGGTGTGCGAGTCGTGACCTCATAACGTGGCATACCACGGCTACCTGTCGTTCTCATCTGCCTCGCGAGCATCGCGAAGCAGTATCGCACGGGCGAAATTTAAATGTTTCATTGTGCAATGTTCTTATGGATCGCGCACATCATGTGTTATCAAAGTACTTCATTGTGTACTTCATATTAAGAGATATTTTTTGTGGTATATTATTTTTGTGGAGATACTTTTGCGGCGGCTGGGCTGAACAACGAAAATTACCCCGGCTTTCGGAACGCTCGTGAAGGGCTCCTTCGTACGAAGGGTGTTGGTTAAACAGTGCGCGTGTGCGGAAACGCCAAAGTCGAATTCTAGGGCGACCCGCTTTCGCGCCCATCCACCACCCCGATTGTAACCGGGTTACCTCGACCTCTCGATCTCACCCGCGAGTCGATATCTGTGTTAGCCCATTGCCTTTGACCTTTCACCTTTACCGCCGTAGCCTGATTTCACAATGTAGGCAACGACCTGCCTTATCGACCCTGGGCGTTTCGCCAAGTGAATCTTAATCATTTCTCCTTAGGTTATCACAAATGTTATACATATAGTAAGAATGTATTAATTATCACATTAACATATTACATAGAAAAGACTGAGGTATTATTTATACAAACAATATATTCATTCGATATAAAAAAATAATTTCTGTCGCACATGGAAACAGTTGTTGCTAAACGAGATTTACACTTGTATTGTATTGTAGAAATAGTTTTTATATCGAATTAATATTTATGTATGTGTATTGTAGAAATAATACTTGTGTTCTATAAAAATTTAGTAAAAATAGGGGCTAATATTTTGCAAATGTAGGACTATTGATAAAAATTGCTGTTAAAAGTATTTGTATCGAAATCGATGAATCAATGCACATATAGTTTCTCTATAAGTAATTAAAAAGACAATAAGACTATCAGGCACTCGCATTTTACTGATAATATATATGATTAACCTTTATTTTACCATTATTATTTCATATTATATTATTGAGCGCGCTCTTGGACGCTGAAATAATTGACTATATACCAGTTTCTAATCTTATTGACAATTTATCGGTTAATGTCATGTTGATGTCAATTTGGTGATAGATTAGTGTGATGAGAATTCAAAAAGAATTCAATCGTATGTCATCAATTCTGAGTTCATTTTCAGATGTAAAAAGAATTCTTCAGAGTTCAGTTCAGTGAAAAGAATTCTTTTTGCATCTAAAAATGAATTCAGAATTGGTGACATATGACTGAATTCTTTTTGAATTCTCTGTGCTATCTGGGGCTTTCTTGAATTATCAACAACCATGATGCACGAATATCTAGACACAACGTGTGTGATTAAAAATTTCCAATAATGCTATATCTATAGGTTGCATTCCAAAACGTTCTTTCCGAGGAAAATTTTACTCTTAAGACTTAGTGTATATAACAGAGCTCGGAATTAGTTGCCCATTTCGGCCGATTCTCAGGAGCTACGCCTTCTATCTTCCTCTTACCGCGAGCGGGCCACGAAAGGTCGAGCCTCCAAACTTGAAGCCGCGACTGGCCGCGATCGTCATTTTCGTGGCCCGCTTGCGGCAAGGGAAAGATAGAAAACGTAACTCCCGAGAATCGGTCGAAATGGACAACTAATTCCGAGCTCTGGTATATAACATGAACTATAGATTTAAGAGTAAAATTTTCTTCGAAAAAGATGTTTTGGAATGCAACCCTAAGGAAGAATGATAGAAGATGCATATTTCATGTTGGATATAGAGTTAAGCCAGTAGCGTACGAATTCCTTGTCCACAACCTTGCTTTATTAATTTTAAACCGAAATAAATTGACCAACCACAGTCGATTATTTTTAAAATAATCGACTGTGGTTGGTCAATTTCTTATGTCTTAAGAATTAAAGCAAGGTTGTGGACAAGGGGGAAAACAAACACCGTATACGGCTAAGTTTCTACTTAGCGCGTAACGCGTCGCGTCATCCGTAGCGTCACGAGTTAAACCAATCAAATCGTCCTATTTTATTGCATAACTTTACGACACGACTTCTGAGGTGACGCATCGCTTATTGCTCGACATTTTAAACAAAAAATTTATGTCCATATTCTCAACTTACTTTTATCGATAAAGGTACCTTAAACCTTCTGAGCTAATTAGGTGGCTTCTAAAACAATATCACCACTTTTATTGACCACTAATCAATAAAACCACTTTTATTGATAAAATTGAGTTCAGAATATGGACCAAAGTATGTGAAATATATACATACTCGAAGCAATACTGCCTATGATACGCCATAAGCGGGATACGATGGAAAGACAGACTGCTATTTGAGTTTGAATTGGTCCTCAAACTCAATTCAATTTATTTGCTTCATATACTTATCCTGATTCACATACAAATCATTGATGTTAAGTTATATTGTGCCTGCTCATATATTGCATTGACGCGTCGCGATGCGTTCAGTGTGAATAAGAATGACGCTATTCTTGAGTTTCCGTCGCGTCGCGCTAAGTGGAAACTCAGCCATACCATTGGCTTTTACTCTAAGCAAAGTTTGGTCATGACTGCGGTTTTATCATGGATGTAGGAATATAAGGATACAGCGTAAGCTGAGTTTATCGGCAAGGGGGGTGAAGCCGATTTGAGGGACGAGGTGTCTCTAAAACTGTGCCTGAATTTGATTGGTTGAGTTGTACTCATGCGCAGTACCGCCAATTATAAACGAAGTATTAAGAACATGAACATATAATTCAGAATAATACGTAAGTTAAATTTATACGTATACGCAACTATTTCAAAAATAAGGACCCAAGGCTGCGTTCAGAAATCCTACTCGATTAGTAGAGTAATGGCTCCTGCACACAAGACGCGATAATGCTTGCTGCGCGGCGGAAGTCCGCGCGACAGCCAATCAATATGTTGTTTTTCCATAAGAGCTAAAAGGTTATTACGGAAAGCAACATATTGATTAGCTGTCGCGCGAACTTCTGCCGCGCAGCAAGTATTACCGCGTCCTGTGTGCAGGAGCCATTAGGCTGCGTTCGGGAAGACGCTATTTAGCGTTATGAGCGTTCTCTGTCCTTGTTAACTTTCAGGAACAAACAAGGATAGAGCACACTCATTGCGCTAAATAGCGTCTCCTCGAACGCAGTCTTAGAAAGGAGATCTGTTCTTTTAGCTGAACTGCCTGAATTAGTGCAATAAGTGCAACAAGTTAGGGCTCATTCGCCTTGGCAAAAAGCAGAAAGATAGAAAGCCAATCAGAACTCGCGCTCGTAGAAAAACAGAAACTATCAACTACATAGATGATAATCAACAGTTTCTGTTTTTGTATCAATCCTAAGTATTATACGTTTTATGCGTTTTTATACGTATTATACGTATTTTACCGTATAATGTAAAAAACCCTAGAAAATGCTCAAAAAATCCTGGTACCTATTATGGACTTCTTCGGAATCAATTCCGATCGGAAACATTCAGATATTTCCTAGATTTCTATTGTCTTTTCTAGAGTAAACGGAATTATTCCGATCGGAACTGATTCCGAAGAAGTCCATAATGGGTGCTTTCCAATTGCTTAACACATCTTGACACATACGTACACAAAACCAGTTTATTAGTCACATATTATCTAAAATATCTTGTAAGATAATATGCAATCAATAAGCTGGTTTTGTGTAACACAGTGTACGATTGGAAAGCACCCAATAGGTACCCTGAACACGCCCATTACGTCTTGAAACTTAAGCGGGAAGCACGCACTCTTGCATAATTATCTATTGTTCCGCGTTAGGAAATTCTAACTGAAAAATTGAAACCTGAAAATTTTCTGACGATCGTGAAATTAATTTCGCAAGCAGTTTAAGTAATCACGTTAGATCGCTTCGCGCAGATACCTCACGATATCGAATTTTATTTAATAACTAATTCTGTACTTTACGAAATGCAATCGCCACGCGAGAGAGAAAACTAGGAAAATTAATCGACGGAAGATCTTTCGAAGCGGGTGATGTGATCGTGCATTTTCTGTGGCGCAATCTCTGCGCGTTAGCGTACTGATCGAGACTCCTCGAAGAAGATCGCATTCAATAAAACTGAATAATTTTACAAAATTTTGAATTCAAAGCGTATACTCAATATTTTAATGGCATCTATCAGACAGTGTTAGAGTTTAATTAATCAAAATTTTCTTTAACAAAAATTATTGATCAATTAATAATCTAAGTTAGTTAAACAATTAATAAATATATATACATTAAGAGAAAGATACTTGAAAATTTGCAAAATTTATAAAAATGCATTATTACTAATATTATTATTTGTAAAAACG